CATTCCTTACTGGGGATCAGGCTCACAGCCTGGGCTTGTGCCCTGACTGGGAATTAGGTATCAAATTGTGACATTCCGGTTCATAAGTCCATGCTCAACCACTGAGTAACACCAGCTGGGCCAATTGGTAACTCTTGATGAGTGTTCTTTTACTATTTTGTAACTTTTCTGTAAGTTACTTTTCCTGTGTAATTTTCTGTAATTTCTTAAGTGTTGTGTCTGAAATGTTTTACGGGAAAAATGTGCCCCAGATGATTGTGATGCAGAACTATGTTTGAGAGCTACCAGATGTCAGGAAGATTCTTTGATTGCCTTCCCTCTGAGGCCCTCTTATCTCTCCAGAGGTGGGCAGATTCATATTCTCTCTCTCTCTCTCTCTCTCTCTCTCTCTCTATGTATGTATGCATGTATGTATGTATGTATGTATGTATGTAAGTTAGGAGATCCGAGAGATATTCTTATAAGTGCTGTCATTGTGGTGAATTGTGGATATCCACATTTGCTTACATGACTGGCTTCTGGTTGGGGACAATATGAATAGTCCATTGACAGCCCTGCGCTCCCCCAGTAACAGATGGAACTTCTGAAGAGCCCAGTGTGGTTCCCTTCACACTTAAGCGGTTTAAGGCTGTTACAGGCGGATGTTTTGTTTCTCCTGTGGGAGAGTTGTATGTGGCATTTATTACTTTTGGTGAACCTGTTCTGTTTATATTCAAGTTGACAATTGTTTCCATCTTGATTGGTTAATTAATTGCTTAACCCCATTAATCCCTAGATGGCAGGTTAGTATAGATCCTTGATGAACCTACCTATTTCAGGGTTACACATCCTGCCAGTCCTTGTGTTTCACAGATGATCAAGGCCACACATTGGGGCACAGACAAGGGCAGGTCACCAGAGAAGAATCTTTCTCTCTGAGCAAGAAGATGAGCATGTACAACCTCATCAGCAGGATTGCAGGTGACTAAGCCTGACCACATATCCCGAGATAGGCCCCCTTCCCCCACTGCACAGCATCTGCTCCTGGAGCATTTCAGAATAATGGCCGCTTTTCCCTGTTATTGAGCAATTAAAAAGAAATGACAATTGTTGTACTTAGGAATATTGAAGTCTCGTGAGAGCACAACCCAATGTGTCAGTGTCCACGGCTTGGACTGGGCCTCTGGTGACATGTGCTCTGCTTCAGGGTTCTACCTTAGTGTTTCCTCAGCCATCGAACCCATCAGCCTAATCCTTATTTCCCATCCCAGAGCTCTGCCTTTCCCAGTGTTTCTCCTCTTTTTCCCCAGCCTTTGTTGTTCTGATTAACCCAGCAGGATTTCTGTGTGTTCTCTGTTTCTGTGCACACACCCCTGGTGCCAGCAGCACCTGCTTGGCATCTGTGTGACCTGTACAGCTGCACAAGACCCCACACTGAAAAGGGCGCGGCTTGGTTTAATGCTCTGCCCTTGCCACCTGAAATTTTCTTACAGTTTTTTAACAAGGGGCCCACATTTTCACTTTGCACTGGGCCTGAAAATTATGAAGCCACTCCTGTACCAGAGTGGACAGCATTCTCATGCCCTTCCTCCCCATCCCCAGCCAGGCTTGACTGCACACCCTAAGTATCAGCTTCTCCACCCCCACCCCCACCCCTTGCTCAGCTTTGTACAATAGCAAAAGTATGACCTTTGACCCTTGGCAGATTGCCCACATCAGTCACTCTGACCCAAACGGTTTGGTTTCTGCAAATGTCATCACTTCCATTTCTGCAATCCCACCCCCACCTCACCCCAAGTCTACAGAGCAGCTGCTGCTGCTGCTGTCCCTCTGCACACAGGCAGCTGATTCGCCTGCTGATTGTGAACATCCCAGTAATCCAAGTGCTAATGGTATTTATTCAGTCCAGCCTGCTTAGCCCTGAACAAGGTTTATTCTCATTTATCTCATCGGAGACGAGCTACATCCTTAATATTCTTTTTTTGACTTTGAGCACACCAGTGCCACTAATGTCACTAAAAGGCTTGCCAAGCCCTTGCTCTTTTAACTCTCTCAAATCTCCAACACTCAGGACATCCATCTTTCAGCCATCAAGACCCCCCCCCCCACACACACACACACACAACTTCCCCAGCCAAGGGGTGTAGCTCTGGCACAGGGCTGGGAGGGGTGTGAGGCCAGCTATATGTGCCCGAGGCATCTGAGCTAATAAAGCTGTGCTCTCTTTGGGTAGCAAGCCCACTATAATCATAATCTTTCTGTCACAAAGCTTTGGCTAGCATTTTGGCATTATTAGCTATTCTCTTTAGCACAGGGTAGTTTTAGCTCTGCCTCACAGGTGAGGATACTGAAGTAAAGGGACTTATCTGAGGTCATCAGTCATTGTTCACAGGATTTTCACCAAGGGTTCTCCAGGCCCTGGCCCTTGCACCTCACTCTGAGCTATTTTGGGTATTTACTCCCCAAAAGCACCCAGCAGTGAGCATTCAGAGCCCAAGGCAGAGCGGCCTGGGGGGGAGAGGCTCTGAGGGCTTGTTGGTGTCTGACCCTCTGGCCACATCGCTCAGGAAACAATGGGCCTCTGCTGTCCCTGCCTGGATGGACTGGGTGCCCCGGAATGCAGGCCTTGTCTCCCAGGCTCCCTCCGTGGTGCTTCCTCAGCTCCTTGACTGGGTAGCACAAAAGGCTGTTTTCAGAGGGTATTGGATTTAACCCCCGAGGTGTTCACCGAGCCCGGGAGCCCTGAGCCTGGGTGGGGCCCTCATGTAAGCTGGTCAGGAGCAAAGGGGCAGCGTGCGGGCTCCGGGTTGCTGAGCCCACATGGCCACAGGCCCACCTTTGCCCACAGTCCTGCTTTACTTCCCCAGGTCCTTCCGAACTGCTGCAGGAGAACAAGTGGATTAATTGCTTTATGAAAGCGATTTCAGCAAGTGACAAAAGGCATCAGCTTTCTCTTTTCCTCTCGCACTCTAAATGAGCTTTCCCCTTTGTAGAGCAGGCCTCAGCCATCATCGGACATCCCCCAAGAGCTCCCGAACTGCAAGGGCACAGGCTGGGCTGAGGGACAACCCTCTCTCCCCAAGTGGATGAACTTTGTGCACTGGCAGAACCCCCTTCCTTGGGAGGCAGCGTTTGACATTTGTGTGGTCCTTGTCTTTTCCTAGACCCTGCCTGTTGCGGTGAGCATTCCTCAGACACAGGACGGCAGAGACAGCCCTAATTAGCTCCACTTTGATGAAGCAGCTGCCTTTCTCAAGTTGGGGGAGGGGGGGGGTAGGTTCAGCTCCCAGTCCCCCATGCATCGGTGCCCACCTGCCTGTCTGGAGAGGGGCTGTCAGCCTCACTTCCCCAGAGGCCCCAGCCTGTCTCCGGACGGCTCCTCAGACACCAGTGGAGTTACAGTGGGACAGGCTGGCACCCACCCTGCATGTCCTCTGTTGAGAGGGGCGCAGGGGGACAAAGGCGCCTCCCATTCTGCAGCAGGAAAACTGGCTTATTGTGCTAAGTCTGCTTTGAACCTTGAAGCTGGTGCCAGGCAGGAATAGAAGGCTGGCCATCCAGGGCTCACTTGGTGCCCATCACTGTGCCGTTCGACAGCACGCATGGAGTGCACGCATGGAGTGCCTGCTCTGTGCCAGGGCCTCTCCTGCAAGCAGCGGTGTGAACACTCTCTTATCACCTGCCTCCATTGCTCTCTGTGGTTTGGACCAGGAGCTTTCTCCCTCTGAGTGTTAACACCCTGCCTCCTGCCATGAGGACCCCTGCCAAGGTTGGGGTTAGGAGGAACCAGGCTCTTTTGGGGTCTCCAGGGAGCTGGTGGCCATTCTGAGGGAAGGCAGCCAGAGCCTGATGGAGACTTGGTGCCCTCCCTGGGCTGTCTGTCTCTGGCCTTGCCCTCCCTTTGCTGCTAGCTCAGGCTTTTTATGTGCCTGCTGCCTTTTCTCTGAAGCCTCCAAAGCGGCTGGTGAGGGAGCCTTGACCTTCCAGCAGGGCCTAAGAACATGGGTCCCTGTGTTGGCACTTGCTCCTTAATTGATCACTAATTTGATCTGAGAAAGCAAGGATCCTGAAAAAGGGTATCCTGGTGGGGTGCCCTGCCATGTACCCTCCCTCGCACCCCTCCGGGCCCAGCATCCTTTCATCCAGGAGGGCTGCGCTGAGTGTTTGACCTGCTCTCCCAGCCCAGAGTGCGGAGAGGAGTCCCTGAGGCAGCGCGGGCGTTGAGCATTTCACACTGCCTGTTCCTTGGTTGGCACAATTATGTTTATTCATTCATCCCCTATTGCTCAGGGTCCTATGCCATGGCAGGCGCTGTGCGAAACGCTGAGGCTACAGGGGTAGAGAACGTGGCAGTAGCTGCTCTCAGAGAGTGGAGGGGCCGGGGGAGGGACGGGGTTGGTGCTGTTCCAGGATCTGCATGGGGTGCAGAGGCTCCCTGGGCCTCGTGTTCTCTCTTTCTTTCCCTCCCACAGCATTCAGTGTGTGCCGTGTGTGCGCTCCACCCAGGAGAGGAGAGAAAGAACGGGCTCCTGTCTAGGGGACCCCATTAGTAATTGCCCTCAGGGTGTGATGGGCCTGGGTCACTGAAAGAGGAGCGCCCAGCACTGGGTTGGGGAAGGTGGACAAAGGCTTTCCGTGGCGGGGGCATAGATGCAGCACCCTTAGCATCAGGAGGATCTTAGAGTGGTAGATAGGATTTCCTTTTTTAAAACACCCAGCCGGCTGGCTGCTGGGGAGGGGAGACTGGCATGGGGGCACTTGAGCCTGTCGTTTGTGCCATAGGTCATTGTACCCGGGTGGATCCACACTAATTAGCTTGTTTCCCCATCTCAGTTCCAGCCTGTCCAGAGGGGAGAACCGCTCCCACCCTGTTATACACCTTGTTTCTCCCAAGGGATGGCTGGTGCGGTGTCAGCTCTCTGACCGCCCAGGCCCCAGGGCTGGGCACAGTGGTGTTGCCCCAACTTGGTGAATAGGTGCCAGTCATGCTTTCCTGTGCTTCTCCCTCCCATTCTCCACAGCAACCCAAAGGTCCAGGTGGAGGCCGTCGAGGGTGGAGCCCTGCAGAAGCTGCTGGTCATCCTGGCTACGGAGCAGCCTCTCACTGCAAAGAAGAAGGTGGGTTCCTCCCTCCTGCCCGGCCCCCAGCACTCCGTGGAGCCCGAAAGTCACTGGCCCCTTCCCGGGCTGTGCATGCCACGGGGGCCCAGGCGGAGAGGCCCACTCACTCAGAGCCTCGCAGCTGCCCGCCAAGGCCCCAGGGCCTGGCTGTAGCTCCCACAGCCGGCGGCCTGCCCTGGGCCTCCATTTGTCCACGGGTGATGTTGAAGGTGTCTGGCTCTCCTAGTCCTGAGTTCTGGGTTGTGGCCGTCTCTGAGGGTAGTGGATGGAGGGTAGCCAGGAAGAGTGGGAGCCGAGCTGAGGTGGTTGGTACACTTACAGCTGCCTTTCCTGGGCCTGGGCCAGGGCCAGCTCTGTTGGGCCCCTCACCCATCTGGTCTGTGCCTCCCCAGGTCCTGTTCGCGCTGTGCTCCCTCCTGCGGCACTTCCCCTACGCCCAGCAGCAGTTCCTGAGGCTGGGGGGCCTGCAGGTCCTGAGGAGCCTGGTGCAGGAGAAGGGTACCGAGGTGCTGGCCGTGCGCGTGGTCACCCTGCTCTACGACCTGGTCACAGAGAAGGTGAGGCCCCGCTCGCCCTGCCGCCCTCTCGCTGTTCGTTTGCTTCTGACCATTTGATCCCGGTCCCTCCCATGTCTCTCCATTCCTCCCTTCATCCTCATGAGTACGTGCTTTGGAGCAAACATGGCAGCTCTGAGCTGGGCAGACAGGGATGCTGTGGGGCCCCACTTCAGGTCTCCAAACCCGGTATTTCTGAGACATCAGGGAGGGTGTCCTGTGGGAAATGGCTGCTGAGCTGGAGTCTGAGGCTGATGAGGAAGGAGGAAGGGTGCGGAGGGTGCTGGCAGTGGTCCGAGCAGAGTGTGCAAAGCCAGGATCAGTGTGATGGAAGGCCAGGACAGTCTGGAGGAGCCCTTCATTAATGCAGCATGGGGTGGGGGATGAGGAGCAGGAGGGACGGAGCAGCTGTGTCTAGGAGCCATGACAGCAGCCAGGAGACCAAGGAGCCAAGCGCTGGAATGATGCTGAATCTTAAGATTCTAGAAACTGGAGTTGCCCACTCTGAGAGCTTGGGCTCTGGGCAGGGGCTCAGAATGACTGAAAGGCCCAGGTGCTGGCCACCTTGGTGCCTGGCTCACTTTGGCCTTTGTGAGACTAAAAAGTGTCTTAATTATGGATAGAGTAAAACCAGCGGGGCCTGGATTCTTAGTTCAGCTGCTGCAGGGAGCATTGGCTGGGGCTTTTCAGTGGCCTGTCCTCCTCCCTAGAACAGCCAGGCTGTGGGTCAGTGGAGCAGGGCTGGGCAGCTGCTAGGACCGCTGCTGAGTGTTGGAGGCTGAGGGGCCCCTTTCTCCTCCCGCGCCTACCCCCCCCCCCCCCCCCATGCTGTTTTGAGGGTCAGGGCTGTCTATTGCTGCTTCTCTGTCAGCTACTGCTTTTCTGTGCTTGCCCTCTCTGCCTCTCTCTGCCTCTCTGCCTCTCTTGGCCTGTCATGTCTCTGTCTCCCTCCCTCTCCCCTCTCCCTTTCTCTCTCACCCTCTCTCCCTTCTTCCTCCATCCATCTCCCTCTTTCCCCCTCTCCTTTCTTCATCTCTCTCTTCCTCCCTCTCTGCCTTCTTCCTCTCTCCCTCTCCCTCTCCCCCTCCTTCTCTCCTCTCCTTTTCCCTCCCTCCTCCTTTAAGCTGCAGAACCCAGAACAGCAGGCAGCCATGCGGTGCTCACATCCAGTTAATAAGGTCCAGGCACAGCTGACATCCTGGACGCGGGCCCACAAGCCTGGAGAGGGACGTGAGCATGGCTGGATAGAGAGACTGATCTCCTTCTTCTGTTGCCCTGGGTGTCTCTTCACCGCCCCCAGCCCTGCATGGTGGGCACTGACATTGGCTCATTCCTGGAGTCCTGGGGTGCTGTGAAGATCAGGGAGGGACCGGTGTCTCAGCAAACAGCACAGAGACAGCCATCCTGCAGCAGAGGCTTTAGGGCAGATGTCAGCGTGCTCTCTGCTGAGGCAATCAGGCTTCTCTGTTCCCAGGAGTGAAGCACCAGCCAGCCTGGGAATGGGCTGTGAGCGTTTCCTGTTCAGGATGCTGACCTTCCCCAGCTTCCGCACCAGCCCCAGTGGCCCCAGACCATCCTGTGGTCTACTGTGGCCCCTCATCCTTCCTGGCCTCCCTCTTGCCTCCTCTGTGCCCTGCACGACTCACTCTCCCCTGCAGTCAGAGCAGAGACTCCTGCAGGCACAGTTAGTACAGCCCATCTGGGGCACCTCCACCCCTGCCAGCCCTCCACCTCTGCACAGCCTTCCTCTGACATTTGAAATAAGCTGCTAACTTGTCAGGCTTTAGGTGTTTCTTTTGCCGCCTCTGGCAGCTGGCAGGGTTGGTTCCACCATATTTTGCGGATGGGGCTGGGCTCCTGCCCGGCTTTCCTCAGCTCTCCACGCCTCAGCCCAGGGCCACCCCCCTGGGAGAGACACTCAGGGCTCTGTGTGTTGTGTCCCATCAACCAGTAAACCTGCCATTCTTTTTTTTAAACATTTTATTTTTATTTTTATTGACTTCAGAGAGGAAAGGAGAGGAGGAGAGAGAGAGAAACATCAATAATGAGAGAATTATTGATCAGTTGCCTCCTGCACGCCCCTTACTGGGGATCGGCGTGTAAACCGGGCATGTGTCCTTGACCAGAATCAAACCCAGGACCCTTCAATCCACAGGCTGGCGCTCTATCCACTGAGCCAAACGAGCCAGAACTAACCTGCCTTCTTCAGAATGAGGTGGGCACAGGCACTGTTATCACCCTCCTGTGTGTGGACCCTCCACTCCATCCTCATCCACTCGGACAACTCCCACTTACCCCTCAAGCTCACGGAACCCCAGCTGGTTCAAAGTCCCACTCCACTGGCAGCTGAATGGTCTTGGGCTGGCACCACAACACACTGCTGACTAAATTTATTAGCTCTTTAGGAATGACTCAGTTAACTTTCATTCTCCTGCTAGACCCCGAGCTCCTTAAGAGCAGGGACCATGTCTCCATCTTCATGTCTGCAGCATCCGGCACCCACAGTGTTTGGATGGATGGATAGGTGGGTGTGGGAGCATGTGTGAGGCCATGAATCCTGCGGCCTTCTCCCGTGAGGGCCTTGGAGGCCCAAGGGGCTAGAGGAAGAGGGTTCGAACTCCCAGGTCAGCCATGTGCCTTCACATCTGAAGGGTGGGCTGACTGCTCTGTGTGTCTCTTTTCCCCACCAACCCCTGCGCTCGGCCATGCGATGGCAGATGTTTGCTGAGGAGGAGGCCAGGCTGACCCAGGAGACGTCCTCGGAGAAGCTGCAGCAGTATCGCCGGGTGCACCTCCTGCCGAGCCTGCGAGAGCAAGGCTGGTGTGAGATCACTGCCCACCTGCTGGCGCTGCCCGAACACGATGCCCGCGAAAAGGTGCTGCAGACCCTGGGCGCCCTCCTGGCCACCTGCCGGGACCACTACCATCAGGACCCCCAGCTCAGCAGGACGCTGGCCAGTCTGCAGGCCGAGTACCAGGTGCTTGCTGCCCAGGAGCTTCAAGATGGAGAAAACGAGGGCTACTTCTGGGAACTGCTGGGCTCTATCAACAGTTTGCTGAAGGAGCTGAGATGAGGCTGCCCCTGAGACTGAGACTAGACTGGAGCACTGCTGGTGAGGCCGAGAGGTACCCGTCTGGACGGGTCTTCAGGGGACAGCAGGCAGGATGGAGGGCTTCCCTCCGGGGTCTGGGCATCATCGGGACAGTGCTGGACTGGCCATTAAATGGAGGCATGAAGGTCACTGTCTGTCTGTCTGCTGTGTGTCTGTGCCGACTGGGCACAGCCGTTGATATGCTGCGTGGTCAGCCCAGGGCACTTACTAACAGCCCCCATGGGAAGGATCCAGGCTGAGTTGGAAAACTCTGGCTGGGACATAGCTTTTACCACCCGGCTGCTCTGTGACCCTGTCCAGCCACTTAGCTTCCCTGAGCCTGTTTCCTCATCTGCCAAAGGGTATGCCGTTAAATGAGAGGAAACATGCGTAAAGGACCACTCCGTGGCTGGTGCTGTGCCGCCCCTTCCCCCAGCCTGCCGTGAGGGGAAGTCTGGGATTATCTCCCTGCCCCTCTGCCTTGTACCAAGTAATGGATGTCAGGCCACTGGTCCTGGGAGAAGCCTAAGGATGCTGATGGGCTGGGCTGCAGTGATCGGTGCTGGGACCTGGGTGGTGGAGGATGCTGGGAGAGGCTTGTTCACTCTGGGGGCCCTTGGGTGTAGGCCTCACCCTGGGAGAGGAGTGACCTCACTACAGCCGGTGGTGGGAGCCCAGTCCTGCTTCCCTGTGCCTTTGCCCCTCTGGTCCATGCCGAGCTGGGCAGAGCCCAAGGAGGAGGCCTTGGAGGCGGGGGCAGCAGGATCTGACAAGTCCCTGCCCCCACCTCAGAGAGGCTGGGAGCCTACTGCTGGTTGCCACGGCAACCCCAGCTCTGGGCCTTCCTGATTTGGATTCTGGTGCGTTTGTTTATCAGCCTTTCCCAATGCACCAGAGGCTCACTCCTGCTGTTCAGGCAGCCCCTCTCTGCCTGCCTGTAGAAATCTCCTCATCCCGGCCTTGCATATAGAAATCTCAGCTTCACTATGCTGAGGGGAAACCAAGTACTTACTTCCCTGAAGTCCCTTTGCTTTACCCCAGACCTCACCTCATGCCCAGCACACAGGAGCTTGGGAGAGAGCTGCTGCCTGCTCAGAGCCTCGCAGGGGGGCTGCAGGAGGCGGGAGCTGTTTCATCAGCGCAGGAAGCCGCCGGTTCCCGGCAAAGTGAAGCTCAGACCCAAAGGCTATCAGATGTTGGATTCCGCCTCACTGCCTTGAGAATCTCTCAGTAGCTTTCAAAGTACGTTTTATAGATGAGGAAATCATGGCTCAGAGAGGCTAAATGATCTGTCTAAAGTCACACAGCTTGCAAGAGGCAGAGCTGGGGTTTGCTGGGCTGATTGTGCTGTGGAAAGTGTGACTGCGGCTCAGAAGGGAATTGTGTTTAATTTGACAGGCACCAGGGAGGCCAGGAGAGATGGCAGAGCAGCTGTTCTATGGCAGAGCAGGTTAGGCCCCAGAAAGGAGGTGCAGGGCCTGGCTAAGGCCAAGTCAAGAGTCACTTTAAAGATGACACCGCAGACTCACGGGATTTGAGAAAGGGGGAAGGAGAGACATGGGGAGAGCTTGTGTTTGGGGCCGAGTTTGGTCTGAGCCTCCTGAGAGCTGAGGCTGCAGGAGCAGGTGCACCTGAGCAAGGGAGGGCTGGCAGGAACGTGGCAGCTGTTGAAGGAGACTTGTGAGATCCTGGGGTTCCCATTGGCTGCAGCTGAGGATCCCCAGCCCCAGAGGTCTCTGTAACCAGGGTCTCATCTGGGATGAGCAGGGGTCCGCTTGGAAGGAGTGAGACTAGTAGAGGCCTAATTGAGGACCGCTTCTGTCCTCTGTGATGCTTCAGAAAGGGGACTGTGGGCCATAAGCTCCTGGGGGAGGGGGCCTGCGGGCCCTGGGGCCGAGGAAAGAGCCTCTGGGGTCTGGTGAGGGATGCCAGGCCAGTGACAGGCTCTGCGCCCACGGGCGGAGCAGTGGATGCTGCTCCCCCTCCTCCCTCTGCATACACACAAGGCATCAAAAATGGTGACGTTCAGTCCACTGGATGTTCTCACTGGCCTCATCCAGGCCAGTGCTGGGTGTCTGATCGCTTGGTCCGGGGCTGTGTAGCAGACCCACCTAGGAGACAGCCAGCCATGTGACCAAGGCTGGGCTCAGGCTGCTCGGTGTGGGTTCTGGTTCCCGTGAGTGCCATCCTGGGAACTGTGGCCAAGGAATGTGACCTGGGTTTGAAGTTAGGCAGGAAATGGAAATGGGGGACTCACAGCCACTAGTACGTGTGGTGATGTGACTTCTTCCTACCAGGCCTCTGGCTGCTTTCCTCTCCTCCCCCTCCTGTTGTGGTGCTGTAGGGTTCTTGCCTCATGGCAAGGACTGGCTGAGAGCTGTGGCTGGTGGACCCCCCTGGGCTCTGGCTGACTGGCTCCCGGCTGCTGGACTGGACTGAACCAGGCCTTCGTGTGGGAGGATGAGAGGAATGAGGAGTGGGTTGGTGGCCATGGGGCCCTCATCCCATCTCTTAGCAGGCTTGGTTTTTAATAATTCTCTCATTCATTCATTCTTTCATTCAGGTTGTATTTAGTGAGCACTTGCTCAGTGTTAGGCCCCGGGGTTCTGAGATTAGTAAGCCACAGGCCCTGCTTTCAGGCAGCTCCCAGTGGTGGGGGACAGTAGTCCCACTGTGACAGGGACGAGATGGGGGGAAGCCCTGCTCAGTCAGAGCTGAGGAGGTCAGGAAAGACCCCCCAGAACTGGTAGTAGCCAAACTGAGATCGAAGGATGCTTTGAAAACAAGCCAGGTGAAAGGGAAAGGATTTCAGCCCCAGGAAGGTGTAGCAAGGCCTGAGGTGAGAGAAAGATGTCCGTTTGAGGAACCCCACGCTCAGTGTAGCTGGAGGGAGTGATGGGGTACGGGGCCAAGTGGCTTAAGGTGGAGCCACAGGGGTCAAGGGGACCACGTTCTCCCGTGCCTGGTTAGCTTCGCCAAGGAGCATAGCCTGACCCTGATGGAGCCGGAAGCCAAGGGGAGGGTTTGGCTGCTGCTCACTCACTCACCCAGCAGATTTGATTTAGGACTGACTAGGGGCTGGCACTGTTCCAGGGCATGAAGTGGTAAGTACCGGGGAGGGGTAGACCACGACAAATAAGTATATAATCCGATGCCAGGCAGTGAGCGCTAAAAGCTGTGCGGAAAAATAGCCCATGAGAAGGGGTAAAGAGTGTTGGAAAAGGCCTCCCGGAAGCAGACAAAGTGTGAATGGGAGAACGAAGACCGTGAGTCAAGGGGATCAGAGGAAGTGCTTTGTAGACCAAGGGAATAGCAGATAGAAAGGTGCTCAGGCAGCAGCATGGAGGTGGGGGGAAGAAAAGCAAGAGTCAGTGGCAAGGAGAAGAGTAAGCAATAAGGAGGTCAGATCTCAGCAGCTACAGTAAGGTGGGAGTTTTCTCTTCGGGATGGGAGCCATGGAGAGACTCAACATGACTGACATTATAACAGGATCACTGTTGCTATGGTAACAAGAGATGGCAAAGGGGCAAGGACAGAAGCAGAAGCCTAGTGCAGGGTCTGCTGCAGAACCGTGGTGAGAACCAGGGTGATGGTGATAGAGAAGGCAGTGCCATGTGCTCAGACTCCAGGGAGCTGAGCGGGCGTGCTGACACTGCGTGTGGGGTGTGAGGAAAGGTCACGGATGAAGCCTCACTTAGGGTCCTGAGCACACAGGCCCCTGGAGGTACTAGTTCCAGGAGTGGGAACAGAGCAGGGTAGAGGAGGAAAGATTGAGGCATTATTGTAGGCATGATTTTGGATGTAGTTTTATTGAGATTTCAGTTGGACATTCAAGTGGAGATGTTGAATAGGCAGCTGGAGAAAGTCTGGAGCTAGGGAAGAGGTCATGTGTGAAGACAAACCTGGAAGCAGAGTGTGGCGGAGCCGGCTCAGAGCAGTCTATAAGCCATGTGGGTTTTAGAAACATTGCAAGCTGGTGTTAAACACAGCCGTTATTAAAAGTCGGCACAGCCCGTGTGTCTCGGTTGGGCACCATCCTGTGCACTGAAAGGTTGCTGGTTTGATTTTCGGTCAGGGCACCTGCCCAGGTTATAGGTTTGGTCCCTGGTCAATTGATCGTTGTTTCTCTCTTACATTGAAGTTTGTCTTTCTCCCTCTCCCTTCCTCTCTCTCTAAAATCAATAAAGATATTAAAAAAAAATTAGTTAAAAATAAAAATCAAATTATATAAACTTACAACTAATATATTTAAAAAGCAAAGATAATTTTAAAAAATTAATAGGAAGAGCAAATTAAACCCAAAGAAAGCATAAGAAAAGGAAATAATAAAGATAAGAGCAGAGAAACCAATAAAATTGAAGGCAGAATAACTAGAGGAAATCAATGAAATGAAAATACGCTTCTTTGAAAAAAGAAGACACAAATTACCAATACCATGAATTAAAGAGGGGATATCACTATATTCACTTATTAAGAGGATAATAAGTGAATGGTACAAACAACTCTTAAGTCCATAAATTCGGCAACTTAGGAGAAATGATGGACCACTTCCTTGAAAAACAGTCTTTTACTGCATTAGTTTTCTGTTGTGTAACAAATGAGAATGAGCTTAATGCCTCAAACAACATAAATTACCATATAGTTTTATAGGTCATGAATCTGACAGTTTCACAATAAAGAAATCAAAGCCACCAAGAGGATTGCATGCCTCCCTGTCAGCTCCAATAGGATCCATTTCCTTGCCTCTTCCAGTTCCTGGAAGCTGCTTGCATTCTTTGGCTGTGGACCCTTCCTCCTTTAAAGCCAGCAAAAACAAGTCCATTTGTAATAAAAACTCTGAGCAAATTAGGAATAGAAGGGAGCTTCCTTAACCTGATGAAGGGAAACCACATAAAAACCTACAACAGGCATCAAACTTAATGGCCAAAGATTGACTTATTTTTCCCTAAGACTGGGAGCAAGGTAAGAATGCCTACTCACCTCTCCTTTTCAATATTGTACCAGAAGTCTGGGCAGTGCAGCAAGGCAAGAAAATGAAATAAAAGGCATGCACACTGAAAAAGAAGAAATAAAACTGTTTCTATTGAAGGATAACATGACTGTGAATATAGAACATCCCATGAAATGTACAAAAAATGTCCAAGTAACAA